TTTTTTCAGGATCTCCGAGTGCGGCGAGCAGCAATCGCGTACTTACCCTGATTCGTTCGGAGCTTGGTAATGCTAAAGCGTTTCCAACAATCTACGCGAAACTGTTTTTCTTCTACATAGTGAGTAATCACCGATGATATAAGTTGCACAAGTGATTTCAAATTTTAGGAGATGAATACCATAGAAGGTCGTGCTGAGGATGCTATAGAGGCATGTCAGGTAGCCATACAGCAATGTTCAGATGACCCTGTTGTCAACCTCTACTTCCGTTTGACCAAAAATATGGTAAATCGCTTCAAACTCAGTAGTAACGTTAACTCATCGTTTCAGGAATTTTTTTTTCCGCCTTTTCAGGTCTCTGCGAGAGTCTCGGGCTCGGTTTGCGATGAAACGGAAGCACAGGTTATTGGCCAGTTGATAAACAGATTGGATCAGACGGCCCCGGCTACCGCGAACCTCAAACTCTTTTACATTTGTACTCTGTTGGCCTACATGCTTGCTGATGGAAAGGTACTAGTCATTACATCAAACTTGCATCTTTTGATTTTTTTCAATTTTCCATCCAGCAGATTTTCCAAATTTTTTTTTGTGATAGTCTTTTGACATGCTGTTTACGAAAACGACGGAAACTCTATGTGGTACTTCCTCTTGCCAAGGTGACGTTAGGTATACTCTTTGTTTCAATGGAATTGGCGGCTGGGTGGCGATTGCTCGCGCCCGCGACGCAGTTTGCGTGTCTCTCGTGAGCGTGCTCTTTGATCTTTTTCTAGTCAAGCCTCGAAGCTTCGCCTTCCAGTCGCCGGTCCTGTTGAATCGAAGGTACGACCTGTCTTGCAGAGTTTGCTAAACTTAGCATGCAAGTCAACTTTCCCATCACTTCCAACAAACTAGGGTTTTCTTTCACCCGATGACCTCACTGAATATAGGGGCTGCCAAAGCTTTGTTTACGCGAAACTGATTTCCGAGCGGTGTTATACGCTAAGTAAAGTGCACCTAAATACTATGCTTACCTGGTCTCCGGTGTGTTTTTTCTTTTGGTCCTTCTAGGCAGAGTTTAATTGCGAAAAAAAGTTCATTAAACCCGCACGTGAGTTCTGGTATCCATGTGACTTCCGGACAGACGAGCCTTTCCGAGCCTTCCCGTCGCGCTGGCAAGAGGAAAGCCCTACGAAAAACAGCATTCGAAAACATGTTTTTGAGGCGCG